TATAAGGGTCTCTAATACGGTATACTGGCGGACTGTTTCACGTTCATGAGAAGTGATTATATCATATTACATAGTGATTATAGAAAAGATGGATAGTCTTGTTTTCTGCAAATAAAAAAAAATTGTAGCAATATACACGATTTTATTTTCTGTTTATTCCACTGGTTTCATCCTGTTTCAACCTATTTCATCCAAAAAATTTAAAAGGACAGATTGTTGAGTATAAAGCAGTCCACTTTTTAGTTACATTTGTGGTGGCATCGCAGGCGTGTTCCATTATTTTTCCATCGCGTTGAAGTCTGAACCCGTTTCATGTTATAATGTGGAGAAACAATAACATAATCATGGCCCATAAAAGTAAACGCATCCGCACTCGCTCTGCCGCTTGTAAGGTACGTGTTTCACTATAACAATATGAAGCGGGTAGCTAATAAATGATCTAATTAGATCGAATCAGAGTGTAAACATTTTAAAAATAGAATGTTATTTTAAAATATAATGTAGAATAAATGTATTTTATTGTCACTGGTTAGTTGATTAGAATTGTCTTGTTTAATCTTGCTTAAATACCCAATTTATTGAAGTAAAATATTTATTAAAGTCCCAAATGAAGAATTTTTTTATTTGATTATATTTTTTATATGCCCGCCGTGTGACATTCTCGCCAATTCTAAGCTATTTTGATAGTTATGTTGCTTATAATAAAGCGTAGGTAAATCCTTCTGCGATGTACTTTGCTAATTAAAAAAAAAAATAGTTGTCCTTCTTCAGTAATCGGAAAAAATTTAACAGCTTTGATAATAATTATATAATTACTGAATTTTTGTTTTTAAATAATGAGCAACGAAACATGGCAGAATATTTTCAGTTGAGATTTTGTTAGTACTTCTTTCTTGGTGTCTTTAGGAAAAATATTGAGTCTCATTAGTTACGATTTCACTCTGTATTAGTTTCATATAAACAAAAATATTTATAATATGATATTTGTAACAAAACTGGCAATAAAAATATGTTAATTTATAGCATCGCGCATATCATAATCGCTCTTTTATTACTTCTATTATTTGAAATATACTACGCAGGCAAAAAATACTCTCTTAAAGTTTAACGCTAATCGCTGTCAGGCAGACAGCTACTGAATCAAGAGGGCTCGAGTGAACTTTGCGTCATTTCGCCATATTTACGCGGCAATCTGGCTGAAGAATGCGGAGTTCCACGGTTATGCTAATGACTCATAAAACAAAACATTATACTGTGCTATCATAGCCCATAAGGCCATAGTTGCAGTTTTTGCAGTAGGATCACTGTGTAGATGAAAATTTTACAAGAAATAAATGCATTTTTAAAATATTCATAACTTTAAAAGAATAGAGGATTCATCAATGAATTTTGATAATTATAATTACACACCGTCTAGGTGATTTTTTTAGAAAAGACTGTATATAACTAAAAGTTCTTCTTAGCAATATGTCTCATGAATTTTTCAATATATTCTGATATAAATACACTCTGAATTATAGAGTTAATTCTCGTAATGTTGTAACAAATAGAGTCATAAATTCTAAACTCTTACGATTTTATAGCATATATAGATGTAAACCTAAAGAAAAAATATCTGGTATGTAATCTCTATCTATATGCACCATGTATTGCTTCCTTACCCTAGAGCTATCTACTTCAAGGAATCTGCTGCCTTCATTGCTTCAATTTGCCGCGTGACCTGTTTTTGGAAACGAATATACGGATTGCTATTTGGTGGGTTTGAAAATTTAATCGACAGGATAAAATTATATTTATGTATACAAATATGTCGTAATAAAATATTATAAAAAATATAATATTCTCACGACTATGATTTCGGGGACAGTCGGCAGTGGTAGCATCTTTATTTGGATTATAATTTGATTTATTGACGATGTTTTTTATCACTTGAGAGTTAGAACAATACGAAACTCATTATCTCAGAGGTCGTGTAAAACTAGGTCGCAACGCTACATATAATATAGTTTGCAATGCGCGGATTTTGAATTTATAATCGTTGGAAGGCGAGTCAGTAAAAGTAATTGCTATACCGTCAGGGTCTTTAAAATAGAATAACATATATATTTATGAAAGTCCTATTTACAAACAACAAACCGGAATTTGGTTTTGCATCAGGAAAATGTTACAATATTTACTGAACAGACTCATTTTCGACTCATTTCAACCTTGTACGTTCTCTTTAATAATATTATTATTTACTTTGAGTACGTTATTAGAACGATATGTAAATTTTTACTCATTTGCGAAAAACCACAGATAACGAGTGTTAATTCTTTTTTCAAACGAATTCAAAAAGAAGGAGATATTCAATACCATTGTATTTTTTGCAAACATAAAGTTTGTTATCTTATAACTCTGTCAGTTGTAAACCTTCTTGGATTTGGTTTTTATCTTAAAGGATGTACTTGTATATTAGTCCCATAGAAATTTTATTAAAATCGGTTTATTAGTTTAGTGCTTAAACTAAAATAACTCGTTTTGCCGTAATTTTTTTTTGTGGAATGCAATTTGATTGGTTTATCCTCCTTTATCCCAAAGATAAAAAGTTGTGCTCAGCTTATGTCTATCAACGATAGACATAAGTTGAATATTAGTGTTTTTATATTTTTCAATATTCTGAAGTCCAGATGTTTTGAATTGTTCAAATAATATCATTATTATTATTATAAAAACTAAGAAAAGGTTCTTTTTATGTTGTTAGGTCACGTTACGTCCCGAAAGGAAATTTAAATAAGTATGAAAGTGGCGTTGTTCGGTTGTATGTTATTATTCAGATTTTTTGGCACAATGTGTGCTCTACATAACTAAATACATTTAAACTCATTCGGTATATTGAGATTCTAATAATTGTTTTTCAGTAGGTACAGATAATTCTAATATTATAATATAACATAACACAAATACGGCGACCATTATTATTACAAACCTGAAAAAATATTTTTACTAGAAAATTTATTGTTTTTTCTTTTTATATTCACTGTATGACTTTCTTATGTCCATATCTTGTTTAATAATATCATAATTGTTATATTTTGGATATTTTTATTAATTCGAGATACTGGATTTTTCTACTCTATGCACAATGTCGCTGGGAATCATTCGTCATACTAACATAGCATCTAATGGAACCTGCCCTATTATGAAAATACGTTCCGTACAGAAATTACCATATATTTCAGTAATTATGTTACACAATTGTGTTTTATTTATTTTACAAAAGCCGAATTTAATATCTACATTTTCTGTGAGTGATCAATAAGCGATTTTGCTAAAATAGCCTATCATCCGGTTGTTATTGTTTGATCTAGAAATGGGTTTCATGTAAAGAGGATTACTTCCCAGCAATAATTTGATGGCAATTGCTAAAGGCCATACAGTTACAGTATTACGTATTTGTGTAATACATTATTACTTTTATTGTTCAATTATTAAAATACTGTGGAAATCGTCTGATTGATTCCATTTACCTAAGAATTTTTTTAGTTAGAAAATCTATTTATTTTTATTTATACACATAAATAAAAGTACATTTACTATGTTTTATTTTTCAACCGTTTGTCATTATGTTTTTTATTTGTATTAAAGGGCCAATAATTGTGCTCTAATTAATTTTACTATCCCGCGGGAACATATTGATTAGTCGACATGAAAAGCAGCCCACGATTTTTTCCTTAATCTTTAAAATTTGATCCAACCCTTCATGATCATTGTTTGGGTAGTTAATATGTCAAGAGTTAAGTAACAAGCAAACTAACTCATTTTCATACATATATTTATAATATTCTGTGCCATCTGGACCCGGCATAGAATAAACCATAATTTCCTTCCCCGTGGGTGTCACTTGTAAGAGGCGACTAAGGGAACTTAATGGTGAAAAGATGGACAGCAGCGTTTCTTTTAAATCATTACTAAAGGCTTACTGTGGTTGCCAATCCGCTTGCTAAGCTGGGCAACTACTGGCAAAACCCTTCCAATAGGGGAGGCCTATATTCAGCAGTAGACAGTTAACGACTGTGTGTATGTGATCTTTGTGTATGTGATCCAAGGGTTTTTCATAACATAATGTATTTTAGTTGGAGGACCAGGCAATCGGTGTGATTTTAAATGGATGATAATGGAATGGCCTGCGATAACGGTATACGCTGGCGGGGCATCAGTGAGGGATGACAGGTGGTTATAAAGAGGCAGGTCAGTTAGCCTATCGTGATGAATTCACTAGGAATAGAACACGACAGTTTCCAGGGGGAACTGCGAGGAAGTCAACATGACAGGATGTATTGCTAACAATGGGGCTACTAATCCTCATTTTTAGCAATCCATTATGCTCCCAATCGGTGTGATTGTATGGCACTTATTTACTGATATAATTTTTTATTATCATAGTTGTAAGGAGCGCTGACAGCACCATTATGTGGGACGATGGGATAACGGCAAACAATAGCAATAACTTACTACACCCTAACAACGCTTAGATCTTATATTTAGGCGGCTAAATCAACAAGTCGCTCGCACGGAAGTCGTTTGCAGTCAATATGGATCGACTGTATTGGGCTCACTTGCTTATCTGCCTTCCTGCCTCCAGCCGTTCCTTACTCGTACATATTATATGAAATGGAAAGACGCACCTGAGTTCTGTCAGTTCCATCTTGATGAGATATTTTCAAAAGATATGTTATTCAGTGTTGCTTTAATTTATATGTGGATTTCAATTCGTTTGTATTTTTTTACGTTTGTTACCCAAATAACTTCGTCAGTTGTAAACGGATTTGGAAAATTCTTCTTTATGTGAAAGAAGATTACTTACAGATTGGTTCAATAGAAATTTTATAAAAAACAAAATAATTGGTTTTGCTACAGTTTTACTTGTAATTATTATATAATTGGTTTTGTTACAGGTTTCTTTTTTGTGGAACACAATTATTGATAACATTTTTTTATGAAATATTTTTTTGTTACAGATGCTAAGTTTTGGGTCGGACGTGGAGACAAGCCTTCACCACAGGGGATCCGCATACCGGACGAGAACGGCAAGGAGGCGCCACTACGCAAATACGACAGCAAAACCATCGTCCTTACGCTGCCTGGGGTGAGGATATACCCTAATTGTAATAGCTTTCAATATTCAAAGTAGTCAAAGTAGTGCTACTGCTCTAGTATGACAATCAAGCAATTTTTTTCATTATACTAAAATACTGTAAAAGCTTACACCAAAGTATAATACTACAGTTTACTATTTTCATAAAAGTATTAGTGTGACAGTAGTAAGCTATATTTCAGGCAAGTAATGGGTCGTTATGAGTTGAAAGGTAAGGTTGATATTTTACATCTATTGCATCAGTAAGCAATATTGACAGTATTATTTATAAATATATTTATGTAACTCTATATTTTGTATATTTTTATTAAACTAAATTATTAAATATGTAATGACTAAATCTAAAAATGTACTTCAAATAGGTACATTTTACGATGAATTTATCCAGTATGTAATAGTATTAAGAATTTTTATTATCTTACTAAGGCTGTCTCGTCAGTTGAACGTTATCCTAAATTAATGACAGGTTGATCCTGTTATAGTTCCGATTTGGGTTCAATATGCGGTTCCTTCGAAGTCTTAAAATAAAATTTGTCAGTTTGGGTCCATTATAAATGATTGACTGTTTTCCATAATTCTTGTTCCGCTTCTGAATATATTATGCAGTTATATTAGAATTCGTATTTTCACAGTAATTTGTCATAACTTGACGTTGTTTGAGAGTTTGATTTTGTAAGCACTTTTCAAGATAACAACTCACAAACAGGAAATGCGATCGTGTTTTATGCATTATTGCTCACATTAATCTAGATCACCCACCACAAGCACCCACGTAGGTACCAACAGATACTGACATATTAGAGAGGAACACTATTTGAGTATTTCAAATACACTGGATGCTTATATGTATAATATATACGTATTACACACATAAGTGCCATATGAACCCTTCTATTACTTGATTATCCAGCATTTCTTGTGTTATGAGAAAACAACCATTGATCATTTGGGTACATAACTTAGAACATTAGGATCTGGATCAATTGAGAAAACTCATTTTTTTAAAGTGGTCCAATCGTAATTAAATTTGGGTATTCATTTATTACAAATAATGAGGTCACGATTGTGGCACGGAGGTCATGTATATATTTCTACTTTAGACAAGTACTAGCTATTTTTCAATAAGTATGTAAAGTATGTAAGTCAGGATGTAACCTATTCGTGTATCAAATTTTATTCAAACCCATTTAGTCGTTATTAAGTGTGATTAAGTAACATACATAAAAATATCTAAATATACGAACGCCTTCATAAACTTTCACATTTATGATATAAGTAGGATTATGATAAAACAGTGAACAATTTTTGTTTGAACTTTTGCGGTGCACAGGAGCTGACGGTGTTCGACATCGGCCACTTTGCAGTGTGGTGTGAAGCGTTCACAGTCAACTTCGGCCATGTGACCCTGCCACATGCAGCGCTCGCCAACGTACCGCCCAGCCTCAAGATGCTCGGTGTATCACCACAAGTATGTATGCGTATTATTGATAATCGGCAACAGAAATATATCTCAATAGTATTATACTCTTCCAGCCATATTAAGTATCTCTAACTAGTGGTAGAGTTCCTTTTACTTATTTGGTAAATGATTACACTATTAGACACACAACGTTATTTAGTCCCAAACTAAGCAGAGCTTGTACTATGAGTACTATATAACTGACAGATATATAGTGTTTTTTAATACAAACGTTTTATACATAGAGAACATTCAGATAAACATACTCATGGGTACAAGTTTTTATACTGTGCGGGGATTGAAACCGAGACCAACGGAAAGAGAAGCGCTGTGTTACACCGCTACACCATCAAGGTCGATAGATGGTATCCACTATCATTCTATATAACGCCGTTATTCGTTATTTTTGGCATCTATAAAATAGGAATATAACCTTATTTCAGCCATTAATTGGCCATTTTTGAAAAAGTCTCTCCTCTCCCATAGACAGCCATAAGGAATGACTCTAAGGCACCTGCATTCACTGAATTTCTATAATAATATATTTGAAGTAATCGCTCTGTCTGCCCGATAATCGGAAATCGTCATAGACTGCATTTGTCTGTATAATCATTACCCAAGAACCTTTCTTCGCTATCAGTATAATTTTAGTTCTCTAGAATGGTAACGAAATATAAGCGGTGCTAAGGATGTTATTGTAAATGGTGTAAGAGATAATAAATAAGGTTTTATTAATTTACTCTTTATTGCACCACTTAAGGAATAATAGAAAGATACTTATAAAGTATAAAAGGAGGTTTTATCGCAAAAGCAATCTCTTCCAGACAACCTTCGGGCAAAGGACAAAAGTAAAAAAAAAACCGTAGCTATTTGGCGCAAGACTGTAATCATTATATATGTTATTATAATGAATAAAGATTGCTATTACAAGTATTATTTCGTAATGCCCATAGTAGTTTCATAAATATTAGACAATTTTTCATTTATGAGATATTATCGTTTCTGCCCTACTTAGTAGCATAAAGAATATTTGAATTCACAATATATTTTTGTTGCCGATTATATGATATAATTAATAATATATATGTTATTAATAAATATATTAATATACTGTAGAATACAAGAGTTAACGTGATGTACAGACAAATAGTAGTTGGTAAATAGTAAAATTTTGGTCGTAATTTTAAAATATGTGTAAACAACGCGAGAGTTTAAAATTAACAAGTAGGTTAATATTAAAGTATATGTAGTGTCTAACATAGTACATGTTTAGACGCTGTTTTTTTTTACAGAAAGTTAAATTTAAAATGTTTACATAATTATTACTATGCATTAGAAAAGATTTTGTAACTGCTCATAGTAATTGTCAAAGAATATAAATATCACTCACTGGTGATAGATTTATAAAAGCATTATTGAAAAATATAGTTTAATTTTAATAATAATATTTGAGATAAGGGTACGATGATGATGATGATGTTCATTGACAGTCTACAGAAATAAGTTTTATTGTTTACGGTACAGATATTGTTGTAATGTTTAAATTCGTAGTTGCAAAATTTCACTATATTTTTTTCAAGACTCATTTGCTTTAAATAAAAATGACCTCGAAATATTTATTATAGACAGAATATAGGTAACATGATTATGCTAAGTAAAATAATAGATACATAAATATGCTCACGATTATAATTCCTGATAGAGCAGGCAGATGCATTAGGGAACCGATATCGTTGTGGTGAACGAATAGCACTTGACATGACAACGTTACGCTGATCAAGCGTACAGCCGTCATTCTGATAATTTCAATATATTAACAATGTTTTCCATAATTGCAATGTTAATTGAAAGTGATGCACAAAATTTGTAGTGTCGCTCAGATTAAAAATTACTAAAAATTAAACTAATAAGAATAAAGCAATTACTACTACTAATCTAAGATTCTAAGATTCTAAAATCTTTTGAGTTTATAAGTAGGGGTAGTCTACTAAGTTACGACGTGGCTCTGTAAATATGTACATATTGTAAATACGTTTAATTGTTTTTTTTGTAGTTTTAAACTTTTAATATTGCCTAAGTACTTATAGCCAATAAATATATTTCTTTTTCTCGCTATAAAAACATCATATTATACTCTACTTGTCTAAAACAAGTATATGTATATTTTTGTTTGTATAAAATTGAAATATTTTATTACAAATCTTAATTCAAAACTTCCATCTGTTTAAAATTTGAATTTCTACGGCGAAAACATTATATATAATTTAAAAAAAGTTATATTAATTTTTGTAGGTTTACCCCTTACCTATACTATGGATATAATTTTAAGGGGCTTTTTAATTAGTATTTTTTTAAGAAAAATGTTGTACTCGTATATATATTACATATAGAAAAAATCTTAGCAACGCGAAAGCATACCGTGAAATTGCTCCGTAAATCTACTTTCGTTTGTAAACAGATTTTCGAAATTGACAATTCAATGTTTTAACATAATTTAATAACGAGGTTTGGTTGAAAATGAATAAATCCAGGGAATTAAAATGGCGGCTAGCTCGAAATGGATTTTCAATCCGGCAGAGCTTTTAAAGTGTTTTCATGGCAGTTTTTCCACAGTTTTACTTTTTTTTTTACTTTATTTCCAGAAACCTCTAAATGAAAGTAGACATAAGAAATAAAGGAGCAATATAACAAAATATTATTAAGCTAAATAATTATAAATAATTTGTATATATTTGATCGATAGGATTTTAAAAAGTTGACGAAATATATGTAGTTTTATAAAAAAGTTGGTATTAGTAAATATTTTTTTTTAATTAAATTTAACGCGATAGCTACTACTTTTCATGAGATAGGCCGTCAGTTTGCTTTTTATTCTAAGTATCATAAAGAGTACCAAATCGTTGCTTAACATTTATGTTTCGTTGATATGTTTCAATGTGACATTTAAAAAGAACCGGTCAGGTGCGAGTTGAACTCACACGTCGGGAGTTCCGTACATAAACATATAATTATGACATAAAGTGGCCTTTATACGAAATAGATACCTAATACTTATTATTATGTATATTTCGTAATTTTTTATTTTGGGGCATAATTGTGGTTAAAAACTAGACTGCATAAGTTTGTTTTTAAAGATTTATTTGATTATTTCTTTAAAAATGTACGAGTTAGAAACATCTTTTTATTTTTTCTGTAGTATTCATATAGGTATAGGTCTCCCCCATATTTAGCAGTGGACGGATAATAGCTGAAATGATGATGATAATTCATGACTTAATAAAGTGTAATTATTTTAGATTTTTTGCTTTAGAAACTAAAGAGATAAGGGAAGGAATGGTTTTTTTCTTACATTTTCGATTATAATTAAAAACTACACAGGATAAATATAAATAAAAAATAATTTTAAAATGTACAAATGAAGCTTTTTGTATGACATCCCACTGGGGCTAGTTGGTTATTTTAAAATTTTGACTACTCTTTTGGACTTCTAGTATGTTTTTTCAATTATTTCCATTACAATATGTGCGCCCAATGATATGCAAAACTATAGTAGTTTTTTAATTCATGACGTGATGTTATATTTAAAAGAGGTCAGCAATAGAACGAATTGAAAATATACAATGTTAGTGTTCGGGCGCGGTTGACGTTAAGAAGTTGCGTTGTATCTTTGGCAACACTTTGTTTGTCCTCGTGTAATAAACAGCTGTCGCGGCTCGTAAACCTCCACTCAATAAAGATTAACTTTAACCCCTCTCCCCCTTCCCTATCCACCCCCTAGTCACAGCAACCTTATTCAAGTCGTTTAATACCCGAAAATTATTCGCGAGATATTGCAAGTACTATCTAAAACCGCATGTCAAATGATACGACGACAGTAATAAATAAATAAATGGAAAAAAAATTAATATGTTCCAAATATATAGTTTTAGTTATTTCAAAACGTTTAGATCAAGTGTTTTTGGTTTGTTAATTGTATGCAAGAGATCGGGATTTCATTGCTAGCTTGTGTTGGTGGCTGAGTTTAACAACGGTTTCCGTGTCAGTATCATTAGAAGCGTGGTTTTATTAATATTAATAAAATAAAATCCATAATTTTAGCTTTATATTCGTCGTGATAGATGAAACGCCGAGCATGAATAACATCACATCCATATTATAAACATAATTTTTCTTTTTTCTAAATAAAGTATTTTATGATTGTAATATCGTTGCTTTAAAATGTTTTCATAGCCGTAACCTCGTAACGTCATTCGACGCCATTATACCTTTGCTGAAAGAAAATCAAGAGGATACGAAATTCAAATTTTATTATAATGTAAAATTGTTATAGAGTTTCATATCGAGTTTTTTTTCGTCTCAACTATATTCTAAAAATGAAATAATTGTATTTTATTTTGTCACTAGATCATAATAATTATAGTAATTTATTAATATGATTTTGTATTCATTCGTGTATTAAAAGGTAACTTCTAGACACAAGTCTAGACTAGAAAGGCAGGGACTGGTGTTTACTTCAATATGTTTAAATGCAGCCGTACTTAGTTCATTGATCATTTAATAACAGGGTGGGAGGTTCGGTCTTCCAAAGTTGTCACTGTTTGATTAGGTACGACCTTTGTAATCAATTTAACATGACACTTTAATGAGATTTACTGATACTAATCTATACTTTATTCATACAAATTGTAAAATGTGGGGTGACGTGTTAATTTAAAAAGTTTTTGTTTGAAATAATTTTCCGACCTGCTTTGAAGAAGATTGATTGTATATATACGTAAAATTTGTATTAAACAAATCGATTAAAGATTTCGTAATAAATATTTTAATTGATTTGAAAATATTTACAAAATATTGGAACTTTTGATATAAGATAATTAAGGATACACCACGCCTGATTTATAAGAGGTTACCGTCAACGATGCTACAAAATTGCTTTAATTAATTGCGGTTTCATATGAAAGTTTGTACAGATGTTTAAATTTTAAGGTGTTTGAATATTTGTTTCTTCA